TTGATGAAGCGCTGATAATAACCGGCCAAGCCGAGGAAGGATCGGACGTCCATCACATTCTTCGGCTCGGGCCACTCCTGGATGGCTTGAATCTTGTCCGCCAACGGACGAATGCCTTCCGGAGAGACAAAATGACCCAAGTATTCAAGCTCTTGCCGGACAAACTCGCATTTGTCGCGGTTGGCTTTGTACCGGGTTGACCGAAGAGTCTCTAGAACCCGGCGAAGGTGCTCGAGATGCTCCTCTAGAGTTCGGCTATAGACGAGGATGTAGTCTAAGTAGACCAAGACGAAGCGGTCCAACATAGCACGAAACTCGGTGGTCATGGCCGCCTGAAAGGTGGCCGGGGCATTGGTGAGGCCAAAAGGCATAACTACCCACTCAAAATGCCCATATCGCGTCTTAAACACGGTTTTGTACCGATCTTGCGGGCGGATGGAAATCTGATGGTAGCCCGACTTGAGGTCTAACTTCGAAAAGTACTTGGCGCCGCCCAACCTCTCAAGCAAATCGTCAATGCGAGGTAGAGGGCCCGCGTTCTTGATGGTTTGCGCGTTGAGGCGTCGGTAGTCAATGCAAAGTCGAAGGTCCTTGTTCTTCTTCCGAACGAAGAGAACGGGCGCACCGTAAGGTGAGCTGCTAGGGCGGATCCAACCCTTGTCAAGTAGATCATCGAGTTGTGCACGGAGAACCGTGAGCTCCTCCTCGGACATGCGATAAATGCATCCCTTCGGTGGCACAGCGCCGGCTTCAAGTATGATCTCGTGAGAGATCGGCCGGTCCGGCACTATACCGGAGGGTGTCTCAAAAACATCCGAGAACTCGTCTAACAACCGGGTCACACGGGGGTCGGAAGACACATCCGTGGACGATGAGTCTGTCGTTGGGACGGTTCGAAGAAAAGCGATGCCAATCTCTTCGACATGCTCGGAACGGCCTGTGTCTTGAAAAGATTTGGCACTCACGACTTGGCACCGAATGGAAGAGCGAGGAGGAGGAATAGTACACGGGACCTCGGCGCCAGTTGCATCACGAATCGTGAGCGTGCGTCGATGGAAATTGACCGAGAGGTCCGCGCTAGAAAGCCAAGGCATCCCCAAAATAACATCGAAGTCGGTGTCAAACACGTCAAAAGTGACGTGATCACATGCGTGCGGTGCAAAGTACACCGGGACAGCCGAGATGTAACGGTCTAAAAGCTATTTCGTCTTACCGTCGGCAAGAGCGACCGTCGTCGGATGTGACTTCCTCCGTACTTGTGCGCCAAGGCCAGCCCGAGTCATGAAGGACTGGCTGATGAAGTTGCGAGTTGCGCCGCAATCTAGCAAAGCGTTGCAGGCCGCTTGCCCAATCTGAATGCGAACGTAGAGCAACGGTGCGTTGTTTTCTTCGTACCGTTGCGAGACAAACTCGCGGGCCACCTTGGCAACATAGCCAAGCATGTCCCCCAGCGCGACTTCGTCTACCCTCGGCGAAGTTGGTGGTGCATGGAAGGAAAGATACTCGTGTAAGAGGGCGCATAGAGTTGCGCTTTGCGGCCCCGGAAGGTTGCCCGTCGTAGGGAGAGGAACCCAAGCGAAATCCTCGGGCGTGAGCGGGTCCAAAGCCTCCTCGTTGAACACGCTTGCCGAATCCCTTGATGAAGACGAACTGGCAGAAGAACCTTCGGACGGTGAGAAAGCCGCACATGTATCTTGTCCTTGAGAAACATCCAGTGAAGGAACGAGCCGGGCAGCGAAGTCTTCGAACGAAAGTGGAAGACTCCCGACATCCGCATATGCCTCGGAAGAAAGGGCGGTCGTGGCCACAACCGCTTCCGATGGCGTCGAGGGAGGTGTCGAGTCACCCTCGGCGGCGCCTACTTTCCCGGACGGGGTTTCCCCTTGGTGGGGCAATGTGCAGCATCGTCGATGGTGTTGTTGCACCAAAGGCAATAATGGTACTTGAGTCGCGTGCGATAGGAATTCGCCGAGAGTCCGTATTGCACCCAAGGTTTGTCGGCAGCTGATCCGGTGCTCGGTGTAGAGGTGGACTGAGTCTTCGTCTTGTCGCGGCCGTGGTTGTTGCGCGGCCGGCCACCATCCCGGGCAGCTGCCAACACTTCACCCTCGTTTGGTGTTGAAGCCTTGGTAGAAGTAATGCAAGCCACCTTTGGCTTGGGCTGGGTGCCGCTCGCCGTCGCGGAAGATCGACCGGCGTTGCGGGCTTCGATATTCGTGAGAATGATCCGTGATGCTGTGCTGAAAAGCTTGTCAGATGTGTCGAGTGTCTCTGCAATCTGCGTCAKCGCGTTTTGCAGAGCTGGACACGAGCGCATGATAAACAAGTGCTTGATGGCGCGGAATGCGAGCGGCAGGTCAGGTGTGGAGGCGAGTCTTTGGAACTCGATAATCCAGTCCTGACTGAGCAGCGTGTTYTGATGGAGCTTGTTGAGCTTGTCCATCGCTTGCAGGTCGGGYGGCTCCACTTGGAATYRCTTGTGCCAGGCGTCRGTCAACTCCTGCCAAGTGAGCTTGGTGTGCAGTTCCGACACTGCTACGSCGTGGCTGGTCAAGATGTTGTCCAGCCATGCTTGACACGCACCACCAGATCGGTGGTACAAGCACGGATGTCGATCGTTGTTCGGGACATGGTGCATGTCGAGCCTGAGAGTAAACTGGCGCCACCACGGGATCGGTTCCATCTTGGACGGATCGCAGAAGACGGGAATGTCATCCAGCTTGGGTGGGCGCCGGGAGGATGCGGCGGCGGGCGTCACAGTGGTAGCAGCCTGGACCTGCGTCTCCAACTGCAAGTTCGTTGCTTGCTGCGACGTCCGGAAGTCCTGATGCACACGCTTGATATTGCTGACGTCATCCTCCAAAACTTGAACACGGGTCGCAAGGTTTGAAGGCCCTGCGGCTGCTACAGCAGCTGGCTGTTTTTCCAACGCCTGCAACCGTGCGAACATCTGGTCCACTGTCTGCTGCAGGTGAAGGATTTCCTCCTGCTGCAGAACGCAGGTGGCCACGAGGTCGTGGGAGACCTGCGCAAGGGCTGACAGCCCTTTCTCAGTCTCCGGGGCCTCGTCTGCAGATGCCACTTCCACCCRATGTGCGGCCTCATCGCCGATCACGGTCTCCCGCGTGAACAGTCGTTCCCGCTGGCGTGACCGGTGTTCGGCTGTCGCCTGCAGGTCTGCCTCCGCTTGACGAAGTCGGTCCTGTTCTTCCTTCTGTCGCTTGGCCTCCTCTTCTTGCTCAATCCGACCACGTTCCTTGGCCGCGGCGGCAGCCCTGTCATTGGCCTCCTGGATGAAAGCAGCCAGGCGTTCCTCATAGGCCAGGAGGGATTCTCCCTCCTTCCGGTCCATGGTCTTGGTCTGTGATCGAGTGAGTCGTGGCATGCACTGCTCTGAAGAGTCACCTATGGGCCAATCAGATAGACTGGCCCAGTATTCGGACTGGAGGGGAAAGAACAGGTAGGCAGCAGACAGGTGGGAAGGATCGGACAGATCCTAAATTGAACAGTTCCCTAATAATAATAAAAAAAATAAAAATAAAAATGATTAAGAAATGAATCAAAATTCGAAGAAAAAAAAGACCGTCCAATCCCACTGAGTGCCGAAGGTGATGCAAGAAGCAATTGTGAACCTTCGGTGCTCAAACTGCAGAGAATCAGAAAAGAAGTATCTTTACCACTCAGAGTAGGAGTAGGTTGCAGAAAGGAAAAAATGTCGTTTTTTTTTTTTTTTTTTTTTGAAAAAAAAAAACGGAATTTGCAAACCTACGCAGTGAAAGTGTAGAGGGACATTTTCGGAAAAGAATCGCGAAATTATCAAAATGCAGACATTTAACAATTAAACAAGGTAAAAACAAATTTCGGAAAAAGAATTCTCAGAATGAAAAAAAATTCTCGGAAACCAAATTTCTCGAAAAAATAATTTTTCGGAAAAGAATAATAATTTCTCGAAAAACTTTTCTCGGAAAAAAGAAATAATTACTCGGAAAAAAAAATTCTCGGAAAAAAAAAATAATTCCTCCGAAAAAAAAATTCTCGGAAAAAATAATAATAATAATAATAATTAATTCCGGGAAATTTCCAAGATTAAACAATTGCCAAATAATCAATCAATCAATCAATCAATCAATCAATCAATCTCAGAGGATTGCTGGTTGATTGATCGATTGTTCGATCAATCTCCGGATTGACTGATCAATCAATCGAAGATTGATTGGTGGCAAACCGCCAATCCAATCAATCAATCGATTGATTGGTTGCTGCCAAGATTCATCGCACTAGCTCCGATACCACTTGTAGAATATCAGAAAGTGAGATGCACTGAAAGCCTAGGATCTAGCAATGACGAAAGTGGCAACAACCAGCAGCATAGGTGCAACATTCACAAGGTGTCAATGTGCACGATGCAAAGAGTGAAACAGCGAGAAATCAACAACAACACATTCGTATCATTATCATCATAGGCTGGGAAGCAGCGCAGCGGAAGATTCAGTATCAAAAGGACATGTGGACGACAACATGAAAGGGAGAAACTTCGGAAGGGCAAGACATCAGAAAGATTGCCCTTCCGCTCACACACATGGGGGGAGATCCATAGACATGCGAGAGAGAAGGGGGAGGGACATAGTAACCAAGTCCAACCCAATTCTGATCTCCGAATGTCGTACACAGTTCGATCCCAATGTAGAGTGTAAGTCCGATCTGAATGTCGTGTCCAATAAGGCAGAAGGCCGTCTCCAAACAATGTCTGCAGTTACCTCTATCTCTACTCTGATAAAGAAGAAGAAGAAGAAGAAGAAGAAGAAGAAGAAGAAGAAGAAGAAGAAGAAGAACTTCGGAGGAGTAGGAGGAGAAGGGGAGAGGAGAAGAAGAAGAAGAAGAAGAAGAAGAAGACGAAGAAGAAGAAAGCTAGGCGCTTTCTGCACTTACCTGGCGATGGCTGAACTTGCAGGCACCGCGGAGCCAGCTATGGCGCTGGTGAAGGTAAGTCCTCTTCTCTCTCTCTCTCTCTCTCTCTCTCTCTCTCTCTCTCTCTCTCTCTCTCTCTAACTCCACTACCCTCCTCGGCGCTGGACTCCTCCAGCGCTGTGCCTCATGCCCGATGAGCAGCGCAGCTGCAGTCTCGAAATAGCGCAGCAGGGAGTCTCCAAAATAKCGCAGCAGCGAAGTTCCTGAACCAGCATAACGCTGGATTTCTCCTGGTACCTTCTGTCCAYGAACTGGGCAACGGCCCAGCTTAAGTAGCGCTGGGCCAGGACTGAAAACCCACGGCCTGCGTTCTGGACCGTGCAGATCGAAATTCCGATCCACGGTCCAGATCGCAGGCTTCGAAAACTGGTTCAGTCCTTGGCCTAAAACGGCCTGCCTGGGTCCCTACYGGACGTCCAGGCCYTGCCCAGGACTGGGCCTGTTCGGTACCTGGTCTGATTCAGGGCCTGTGCGAATGCATTGGGCCTGAGCGTCGGTCCAGGTCCGAACGGTCAAAAACCTGTCCRAAAACAAAAGAAAGGTCCAAACGTTTTTTAGAGGCTCAGCCTCTGGGCCTGAATCTGGCCCTGGTCCTAACATGTGTACCTGGCCACAAAACGGACAACAGTACAACCGCTAGAAAAACAGCAGCAAATAAATAAATAAAAGAATATAAAAATAATCTAAAGCTGGCGATTTTCTGATGCAGGCCCAAGTAAAAATGCCATAGGGCCATCAGGTTGCGGTGACACGACCTGGGGGCCCTATTCCAACCTCGGGTCCCGTGAGGGGCCCGTGTGTAGGCTTTCAGCATGTAACAGATGGGAGGAAGAGGAGAGACAACGATGGAGGCGAGGGAGAAGACCAAGATCGCAATAGCGAAGACCAAAAATAGTCCCTTGCCGATGTCCAATCAATGTCTGCCTCAGAAATGTCGAATCAGATGCTGGGCACAATGCCCACTGTGACCTCTGCATGTATCCTCTGCCTGTAACCTCTCTCACTCTCGTATCTGAAGAAGAAGAAGATGAAGAAGAAGATGAAGAGGGAGGAGGAAAGAGGAAGGAGGAGGAGAGATGGAGGGCAAGAAGGGAGAAGAAGATGTCACCCTCCTCGCGGCCTCACCTGCAGGTAACGGCTGCCGTACTGACTGCCGTGGTTGTCCTGTGCAGGTACAGCGTGGAGATCCCAGCTATGGCGCCAGGTAAGTTCGCCACTACAGGTATGGGTTCCGCCTCTCACTCCCACCAATGCCTCTCCTTCCAGCCTTGCAGCGCAGCGCCCAAAATAGAGCAGCCTCCATCCAGCAGCATGTCGCTCAAGAAGTGAGCTACCAAACTGTCCGTTGCCCAGCCGCTGCCCAGCTATATGTAGCGCTGGGCGAGGCTGGGCCTGCCTGGTGCTGGCCTCAAAATGGCCCAGCCGGTCTGGGTCCCTACCGGGCGTCCAGACTGTGCTGCTGATGCAGCAAGGCGCAAGAATGCGCCTGGCCTCTTTAGGCCCTGCCTCTGGTGTACCCAGTCCCAAGGTCGTGCCTTGGGGACTGCAAGTCCGAAACGACATCTGCACAGACCAAAATAGGACAGCAGGTAAGTAAATAAATAAATAATTAATTAAATGCTGCCTATATTCGAAATCTGCGGCCTGGGGGCCGTCGTGGGCCTCCAGGGCGCATGTCCGATGGGCATGCGGCCTGGGGACCCCTCAGCGACCGTTGGGCCCCTCAAATGGGGCCCGTGTGCAGGCGCAGCATGTAACACCCCCCCCTCCTTATGAAGTCAAGCCGGGTTGAGGGCGAAGCTGACGATCTGAAGGTGGAACCTGGACGCGGGTGCAACGTGGAGCCGAAGATACTGGCTTGCCTTGCAACTTGCGTTCGTAGCGTGTGAGAACATCCGGAGCTGTTGCTTGCAGTTCAGCAAGGGTCAACCAACGGTCAGCTTTATGGGTGCAGTATGCAAAATGTACCAAGTATTCAGTCGGCCTGTTGCCGTAACGTCGTTGGGAGATGATGTCGCCAACCTCTTGAAAACCGTCCATAGAGGGTGGGTCTTGCGATCGTCGCCTGGGAAAGTCGTCATGTTCCGCTGGCGTGTAGAGAGCCAACTTGGAGCAGTGAAAGACCGGGTAGACGGGCAAGTGGGTGGGCACCTTAATGACAAAGGAAGGTCCTTCGGGTGCATCCCCAGCGGGTGCCACGATCGGCCAGGGCCCCATCCATTTTGGGAGGAGCTTGCGAGAGATATCTTGTTCGAGGCTGAATTCCGCGGCGGAAACCCACACGAGGTCGCCAACGCGGCTTGGACGAGAAAGACACTGGTGATTGGCCTGTTGGCTCATGCGTTGCTGTGTCTTTGCCATATGGTCGCGTGCCTTGACAAGTAACTCTTCAATCCGATGCAAGAAAAGAAGATGGTCGTCGCTCTCGGGCGCCCGTGGGATGATTGTGTCCAACGGAGAGGTGACCGGTGAGCCGTGCTCAAACTCAAAGGGTGACATCCCGATAGCTGGATGGATGGACGAGTTGTATGCCAACTAGACATTCGGCAGCCGCTCAACCCAGTCCTTTTGGTTGGGACCGATGAGAGTGCGAAGGAGAACCTGTGCGGTCTGATGTGCCCTCTCCGTTTGACCATCGGTTTGAGGGTGGCGAGCCGAACTCGGTTTGAGAGACGAGCCCCATCGTTTGATGAGCGCCAACCAAAAATCGAACAGGAACCGAATGTCGTGGTCGCAGGCGATTTCCTTGGGGTAACCCTTGGTTCGAATCCAACCGGCATAAGGAACCTCGGCCAACTCCGGTGCCTTGGCATGATAGCGGCAAGGCAAAAACATGGCAAACTTGGTGAGTCGGTCGACCACCGTGAGAATCCCGAGCGGCCCGGTGATATCCATGGCAATCACTTCCCTTCACCGCAAGGGGACCGATAATGGTTGCAACTCGCTGTACGGACGATGATTGCGGGATTTGCAGTGCCAGCAAACCTTGCATGACTCACAATAGCGTGTGACGGCGCCGAGAAGGCCGGGCCACCAAAAGCGCTCACGAAGTCGGCCAATCGTTCCATTGACTCAAAGTGTCCGGTGGTGGGAGCGTCGTGGAACTCGCCAAGAAGCCGCGTCCGCAAATGAGAGTTGCTTGGAATGCAAAGAAGATCCTTCCCCCGCATGTGGACAAGCAAGTATCCCTCTTGGATCCGGTAGTGAGATGGCGCTGGATTAGGAGAGGAGCAGTTCGCGCACTTGTCGCGAAACTCGTGGTCGGCTTGGTAGCCGCGGATGAAGTTGTCCCGCATGTTATCATTGATCTCGAAGGTCGAATAGACTGCGGTACAATGATCCCGACGCCGTGAAAGAGCATCCGCAAAACGGTCGACTTTCCCGGAATGTGATCGGGAAAGAAGTCGAATTGGTCGATTAAAGCCATCCAACGAGCAATGGTGCTGTTGACCGTGTTTTGGGTCTTGTAAAAGACCAACGGATTGTTGTCTGTTACCCATCGGAATTCACTTTGACCAAGGAGAAAGTGCCGCCACCGCTTGAGCGCGTGGTCGAAGGCTAGGAGCTCCTTCGTTCGTGCTTCGTCAATTGAGTGCACGATGGACACTTTCTTGCTGAAATACTCGACCGGGTGCCAGTCCACGCCATCGTGTTGCTCGAGGACAGCCCCAATGCCATAGCCGGACGCATCCGTAATGGCGCGTGTTAGCAATAGCGGACCGTAGATGCGCAAGACCTCCGCGGATAATAATGCGCCTTTGAGGGCCAAAAATGAACCCCGCGCATCCTCACCGAAGTCGAACGGTCGATCCTCGCATTGAAGCTTGGTTAAGTGGGCCGCGATCTTCGAGTATCCCTTGATAAAATGTTGGTGGTAGACGGCAAGGCCAAGAAACGAACGGACATCCCTGACGTTCCGCGGCTTCGGCCACTCTTGGATGGCTTGAATCTTAGCTGACAACAGACTGATGCCCTCCGGTGTGACGAAATGGCCCAAGTATTCCAGCTCTTGTCGGACAAATTCGCACTTGTCGCGGTTGGCTTTGTACTTGGCGCGGCGGAGCATCTCCAACACTCGTCGAAGGTGCTCAAGATGATCCTCCAATGTTCGGCTACAAACGAGGATATTGTCCAAGTAAACCAGCACGAACAGGTCCAACATCGCACGGAACTCGTTGGTCATCGCCGCTTGAAAGGCCGCCGGGGCATTGGTGAGGCCAAAAGGCATGACTACCCACTCAAAATGCCCATATCGTGTCTTGAACACCGATTTATAGCGATCGTTCAGGTGGATTGAAATCTGATTATACCCCAACTTCAAATCCAACTTGGAAAAGTACTTCGCGCTGCCCAATCGCTCAAGAAGATCGTCGATACGAGGAAGAGGCCCTACATTCTTGACGGTTTGTGCGTTGAGCTTGCGGTAATCAATACGCAATCGTAGGTCCTTGTTCTTCTTCCGTACGAAGAGAACTGGCGCTCCATATGGGGAGCTACTAGGGCGGATCCAGCCCTTGTCCAACAAGTCGTCGAGTTGTGCGCGGAGGACTGTAAGCTCCTCTTCGCTCATCCGATAGATGCAACCTTGGCACGACACCGACCTCAAGAATAATCTCGAGAGAGATTGGCCGATCCGGCACCACACCGGTAGGTGTCTCGAAGATGTCGGCAAACTCGTCAAGTAACCGCACCACAAGGGAGTCCGAAGACGAGTCCGTGGGCGAACCGCGACCATTCGTAGGAAACATAGGCCTATCTCGTCGGGCTGCTCGTAAGCACAAGTAGCTCAGAACGATTTGGCCGTCACCACTTGGCACCGGATCGAAGGGTGCGGAAGAGGAATAGTACACGACACTTCGGCGCTGAAGGCGTCCCGGATCGTAAGAGTCCGCTGGTGGAAGTTGACCGTGTGATCCGCACTTGCAAGCCAAAGCATTCCCAAAATAATATTGAAGTCCGTGTCCAAAATGTCGAATGTCACCGGTTCGCATGCATGAGGTGCGAAATACACCGGGACGGCCTCGATATAGTGGTCGAGAAGTTGTTGAGGCTTTCCGTCTGCCAACTTGATCGCCGTTAGGTTTGCCTTCCTCCGAACTTGTGCACCCAGGCCAACCCTTTGCATAAAGACTTGGCTCATGAAATTGTGAGTCGCACCGCTATCCAGCAAAGCGTTGTAGGACGCTTGCCCAACTTGGATGCGAACATAGAGAGCGGTGTGTTGTTGTCATCGTACCGCTGCTTGTAAAACTCGCGGGCCACCTTGGTGACAAACGCAAGGATGTCCCCCACCGCAGCTTCGTCATCCGTCGACGAAGTTGGTGGTGCATAGAAGGATAAGTACGTGTGAAGATGAGTGCAAAGTGTTGCGCATTGTGGTCCCGACAAGCGGCCCGTGGTCGGGAGAGGAAGCATTGAGAAATCCTCGATCGTGAGCGGGTCCAATACCTCTATGTTGAACTCGCGCGCCGAATCCCATGAAGAACCACTTGAAGACGATAAGTCGCCGCTGCCTCATGAAGAAATTGTTGCACACACGTCTTGTCCTTGAGCATGAGTACCCAACGTAGGAACGAGCCGGGCAACATAGTCCTCGTAAGAATATAAAAGAGGAGGACTATCGACTTCCACATATGCCTCGGAAGGAAGGGCGGTCGCCCGCGTAGCAACCGGTTCCGAAGGCGTCGAGAGTGTCGTCGACTCACTCCCGGCGGTGCTCAGTTTCCAGATTTGCCCTTGCCTTTCAAAGGATAGCCCACTATTTCGTGGAGATCGCTGTTGCACCACAAACACTAGCGGAATCTTGTTCGTAGCTTGTATACGTGTTCCGAGAGACCGTAGTGGTTCCATGGGGCTTGAGCTGCTGCGCCGGGCCCGGGGTTTGGTGTGGTGTTTGTTTTCGTTTTGCCACGTCCTCGGCCTTTGCCGGGGTGGCCACCCCTTCACTGGCAGACACAGCCTCACTTGAAGGGCCGGTCGACGTTGCCGCCACGACCACGGATTCGAGCGCATCGATCCAGCACCGCACAAAACGGGGCGGGACTCTCCCGGTCGTGTCACGCAGGAGTTGGTCTATTCCTCATCTCGATACTTATGGAGCTTCTGCAAGCCGCTCCGTTCGAGTGCGCCAGCCATACCTCTCGCTAGCCCCTACGACAGGATAGGGCCTACGCGAGGCACGACTTACCTCCACCTTACGGGAGTTGTCACCTCCCTTCGGTGGGCGTATCCCCGTCGAGCTACCAGTCCACAGTACGAAAGTTAATTAGCTGCAACCGCAGAGGTGGACCAGCCGAGGGCGTTTCTCGTTCGCAGTAGCACGCTTCCCACACACCACGTGCACACCACTCTAAAGACATAAAAATTAAAACACACACACACACACAACGACACAAACAAAACAACGCACACAATCCTAGTCCCTTCACTAGCCATCCTATAACTCTCGGATGCGGAAATTGGATAGGCGACGAGCGCGAGACTTAGTATAAAACCGCGCGGACACAGGGCCTTCCCATATCGACTAGCAATGTATGAATATGCAAGCAGCCGTGATGATGGCGTACTATGTAGTGCCCATAATCAAGCGGTCCCTCGTGGGATCAAGTACCGCTTATGATTCTCAAGTGTCAAACTCGAAGTATCGTGAGGGTCTACCCCTTCACGATATTGCACGACTGAAGGAACAGCCGTGCGGCCTTCGCAGCATCTCCGGCCTTTAGGCTGAGTGTCCCCGTGGGCAGGGCAAATAGGCTTTGCGCGGTGGGTGATCCCTTCCATGCAGAGTCTAGGACCTGGGATGTCCTGGACAAGGACCTCGAATCCAAGCCCAGGACCAACGCCCGACTAAGAAATCTTTAAAAAACAAACAATCAGTAAAGGGAGAGAATTCCCCTTCCTTTCTCAACCTTGACCTCAATTTAACCCTTGAGCGTGGGCCCCTTAGGCCACGTGAACCACCCAAACATAGGTATGTGCATATATATATTGCGGAATAAGTATGTGACGATCACTTCTCACAATCACAGTGGGACTCCTCACAACCATATATATGTATGTGATCGCAAGCAGTTAAATCCAAAGTCCGAACCACAGAACATACCTGCAATCACATCAAAGAGTCAACCAGAAATCCACACACTACACGGAGCCAACTTTCATTCTTTATACTCATACCCCTCACTTTAGCCATGCAAGCCCCAACCTTTGTCCAACCTTCCGTAATTAAATACTCAGTCCCTTTGTTAAATGGCCATTCAATAAACGTCCGGGTGAAAACCTTAATAAAACAATAGAAGCCACCAGGGCTAAAACCTTTTAGGTTCGAGTATTGAGGGTGAATTGAAGTTGAGTCGTACACCGACGAATCGACAACCGAACTGTTATCAGTGATAACAGAAGATGATCCTCGTGGGATCAAGCTGAATCTATTCCTGATCCTGAATCAAACGATCAAGAGGACCTATAACACAAGGCATGCCAATCCCCAAGCTAAACCTATAAGTCCATGGAGAATAATCTTCATATCACAATCTCACTCAAGGTTCTCATGTAAACTAAGTCTAAGCTTACCTCTAAGCCAGTGCCTAAAGAAAACGTAGACCTTTGGCAGAATCTCCTCTATACAGAGTGGATTGCCAGAATTGTCACCTGTCAAAATATAACCTATCTCCTTTAAACTAAGAAAATTTCGGCAGCGCTCCCTGAAAGAAAAGTGTCTTCTCGAAATTTATACTAGCTCGGATATGAAAACAAAAATAATATTTAACTTTGGAAAGTTAAATTTTGTCTAACTCTCTGAATTAGTAAAAATTTGGGCAGCATCTCCTTTAGAAAGGTAAACTTCCCAGATTTATACTAAGTCAGATAAGAACTCAGAAGCCAGACTTGAGTTCGACTTAAGACAAAGTTCAATTAACCCCTTAGATTTGTAAAAACTTTGGCAGCGCTTCCCGTAGAGAAAATGTTATTCCAAGATTTATACAAAGCTAAGTTCACAATCTAGAAAATAATCTCGACTTCCCAAAGTCCAATTTTGTCTAACTGCTTGAATTAGCAAAAATTTGGGCAGCACTTCCTTTAGAAAATGAGACTTCCAAGATTTTTACTAAGTTACGTATATAATTTAGACAAACTGAACTTTTTGAAAGCCAAAATTTGACTGACTCCTTGGTTTTGTAGAAATTTCGGTCGCGCTTCCCGTAGAGAAAGTGGCTTACCAAGATTTATACAAGACCAAGTATAATAAAAGACCCCAGAAAATGCAGAAATTGCCCTAAGTAAAAAAAAATTAGTTTCACTCCTATGACTCTAGTACGTGGCGAGCATCTAAAGCAACTACCTGTCAAACAGAAACTCAGACCAAGTAGTTATTTCACTCAGTCACATGCAAGGCCAAACCACAAAGGTAAGTACTCTCACCGGCCCAAAGTTAACCCTATCAAACAATAGTTCATAGTCTTTCAATGATTTATCCATTTATACCCAGCTTACATAAGGCATAAAGCTAGACCACCCAAACTTATGGAACATGTCTAGCTCAGCTATTGAATATACACAAACACAGGGCACAACAACTTTTCTCTTCCTTCGGCACATGACTAGGCCACCTTAGTCGTCGTGACTTGTTTAAGTTTCCAAGTTTTATATAATTATTTGCACTTAGTCTTTTGAGGTAGCATACGACTGAACCGATCATTTTTAGCTCGAGATTCAGTCTGCCTCTTCGTACCACAAGTTTATTCTTAATCCATACTCTTCAGTTTGTGATAAACTAAGTCAGACCACCCAAGCTTATGGAAACCTGTCTGACTAGCCTGTTCATAAGTAGGAAATAAAATATAGTCAAGTTATAACCTTCTAGTTCCAGCATGTGCATGGCATTGGACCAAGACCACCCAAACTTATGGAACATGTCTGGTCCTCTGCCTGATTCGTTCCCTTAAATAAAACAAAAACAGGTTGAGCCACCCAAACTTATGGAACATGCTCGGACCTCGTTCAGAACTAAAAAAAACTGAGAAAACCCAAAATAAACAAGGCAACCAAGCCATCCAACCTTATGGGACAATGCTTCGTTCCTAAAAATCAATCACAAACAGCCCTCGCACGTCAGAGCAACCAGACCACCCAAACTTATGGAACATGTCTAGTTCTCTAGGCAATTCAAAAATAAACATAACATTGGCCCCCCCCAAACTTATGGAGACTTGCCCAACCTTTGATTGACCTAGTCAGACAAGCAATACTGCCTTTCTCCCATCCTTCCCCCATATGCAATCCCACAATTTGCTTTCAGTCAGACAAATAAAACTAAAACTGACATTACACATGCATCCCTTTACTTAAGTCTGAATTGTCCTGAGAGTCAAACATAAAAGTCAAAGTAGGGATGCATGCAGTTCACTCAGTCAATCATAGCAAGATGTATAAATAAGTGTTATAACTGGATTTATAGAAGGAGATGGAAGGTTACCTCTCAGTTCCCTACCTCCAGAACTCCTCCTGAGTTCCGGTAGAGCTCCCGCAATCGGTGGGCGGACTCCCCACAGAGTCTTGTTGCGGTCCTACGGGTTGCAATCCCGCCTGCCGCCTTCCTCTCAGAACAGGACTAGACTTAGAGTAAGAAGGGAAGAAGTAAGGGGTTTCAGACGCTCGAGATACAAGAGGGGGACTGACTCAACTCTCAGGAGAGGGCCTCGCTGCCTCGATGCGCCTGAGGGCCCCGCAATGGCAGTCAAAAATGCGCAGCAGCTTGGTCCACTGAAGCTAAACCACCGACCGCTAACTCCCCTGACGTCCCTCTTATATATAGCCTAAGACCCATTTATTCAAGCTTGATCACTCCCTCAAGCCATACCCCACTTCTTCAGATCAAACTGTCGTTGCCCTGTCTCGACGGCCTGCGCTCGAATGCAGCATATCCATGTGCCCTTATATTAATGGAGACACAACAAATCCAATTAGAGCAATGCGCACAGCAGCCGCCTGTGCCAGCAATGCCTAAACCTTTACTGATCGCAGTATGCACGGCAAGACACACAGTGGCAACCATAAGCCAACTGTGTATAATCAACCGTCGAAGCACGGCGTTCGCAGGCAATAGTCGCACAATGGTAAGAATACGTCCGTAATAGTAGAGCGTAAATGATCACCACCAGCCCAGCCTTTGCAAGTTCAGCAACCAGCACTGTCGTTGCCCTTGACTAAAAATTACAGCCTCCACGGCTCCAAAAGTCGCCTTCAAACAGGGCATAGCCCTCGTACTTCAATCGAGTATGACCCACAATCCTCAACTCTGCACTCCACAAGGTACACCAGAACGCTGCAGCGTGTTGCGCCGGGCGAAGTAAAGGCAGCAACGAAAGAGTGACGCTCCACGGTAAAATTACGGCAACTACCAGTAGCCCGACTTCCTAGCAAGCAACAAGACCTTTAATAGTAGCAATAATGGTACAGCCACACAGTCCGCCCTGCAGCAAGATCCAGTCGGCGCACTCAGTTGCCATAACAGTATTGCCCATAGTGACGCAGCCTGTAGATGCCTGTAATAGTCAACAAAAGCGACCGAAGTCCGTGAAGGTGTCAAGCGACAGAAGCGCCCTGCAGCAAGATCCAGTCGGCGCTTGTCTTTCTCACACCCCGTACGCATCTGACTGTCAACTGCTTGTCACTTTACCATCCGAAACAGGTGAGGTCTTTGTTCCCTTTTCTCTACCAATTGATGAAACCGCGAGCCGACGTCAGCAGCGGCAACTATCGAATCGTGCCGACATCAACCATGTAAGTTATCGCCATAACTGAGGTACGTGTTTTCCTACCATCCTCTTCAACCCTCTCTCTCTCTCTCATCGATGGGAGGAACATGGTCCGGATGAAACTCTCGATAGAAAGTGGGAAGATGCCCCTACCTAGCAGCCATATACACAGGGAGACCGACTATGGCTGCATCCACCGGTGGGATGGGCAAATTCGGAATGAACCTTTCACCAGAAAACGGCCGAATGCACGATACTCTGAAATTTCTCGTCCTACGCGCAGCCCCGTCCGACCATGCCAACCAACAAGTAAGTCCCTAAACCTTGTGACTGGCCTCTCACTACTCCCGTCGCTCGGAAGAACAAAATCGGATGAACCTACCGCCTGAACATGGAAAGATACATCGCCAAGTTTGTGTCAACACGAAACTGCGCAGCTCCCTTCCATCACGTGCAAAAAACAGGGCGGATACCCTTGTAAGGGTATTCGCACCGACAACGACCACTTTCGGTCGATGTTGTTCTCTGCTCGGGCCTGCTGGAGATGAATGGTTGAGGTTCTTGGCCTCCATGTTCATGATAATAATTTGCGCGACTTTGTCGAAGAGCTCCGTTGTTGTAGTGAGAGTGTCTGCAACGTGAGTCAAGGCGTGTTGCCCAGCGCCGGACATGACCTCGTAATGAAGTAGTGTTTGATGGCCATAAAGCCCATCGGTGCATCCGACATTGACGCCAAGCGTTGGAACTCGGCGATCCAATCCTCCGCCGCTTGGCAGCGTGCCTTGTGCGAAAGTCAACAATTTGTCCATTCCTTTGATTTTCGGCGGCTCTATTTGGAACTGCTTATGCCATGCTGACTTCATATCATCCCAACTGATCTTGGTATACAAGTCGGCAACCACCAACCCGTACTTGGACAAGAGATTGTCCAACCACGCTTGGCACGCGCCCCCCGATCGGGAGTACAAGTACCCGTGTTTCTTCTCTTCATTGACGTGGTGGAGCTGTAACTTGAGCTTGAACTTGCGGAACCATGGAATTGGGTCCGTCTTCGTCGAGTCGCAGAAGATCTTTTGACCGTCGAACTTCGGAGTCGATTCACGTGGTGACGTGCTCGAGTGACTGGCGGCAGCGCAGATCCGCTGCTTCAGTTGTTGAGTTGCGGTTTGCTGTAGCTGCACACCGTCCTTGAGTGCACCGACGTCGATTTCCAATGCGTCGAGGCGATCAGAAGTGTTCAAGGAGCTGGCGACTGGGGCGGGGACGGGTCGTTGCTCCAGCTGCTGTAGGCGGCTGCTGACTCGCTTGACCTCGGCGTCGAGGCTATGGATGTCCTCCTGTCGTGCAATGCACGTTGCCAGAAGGTCCATGAGGTGGGAGAGCAACAACGAGATTCGTGGTCCGTTGTCGCTGAGTTCGCCACCCTCGGCCTCGGTCCGCCAGGTCGCTGCCATACAAAGCAAAGCTCTCTCCTCGCTGAATACCTTTTCGCGTCGTCGACTGCGTTCTTCATCGGCAGCCTTTGCTGCTTCTCGTTGTGCTGGCGCTTCTGTTCAACTGCCAGCAGACGTGCGGTCTCAGCGTCCTCTGCCTTCTTCTTCGCTATGGCTGCTATCTCATCCGACCGTTGCTTGGCTTCGGTAATCAGAACCAGCATCCGGGCCTGATAGGCCTCGTCCGTTTCCTCTGGCTTCTGGTCCATGTGGCTGTTTGAGAGCACGTGAGCATAGACCAGGCCGGGGGCCTGCTGACATGGCACTCCCTGCTGCTGACGGGGCACTGCTCGGCTGCTGATGTGGCACGGCTGTCGGCTGATCTGTTGCTGACCTGGGCTGCTGATGTGGCCTGCTGAAGTGGCCTGCTGACGTGGCAACTCACCAATGCCGCAGTAGGGGGTTCCCGGAGACAGGTGGAAGGGAAGACAGGAGGGGCAACAGCATAGATGGGGAGGGGTGGGTGGGATTGATCGCCCAGATAAGGAGCCACTAATAAAAAAAAAGAGTTTGAACTTTGCAAAAAAAATTCGAGAAAAAAAAAAACAAATTTGATTACAAGTTCAGTAGGTCTCCCAATTCCCCCTGAAATTTGAAATTACCAATAATAAGAAAAATCGAATTTTCAGACTGCAATGATTAACAAAGAATAATAATGAATAAAGCATACTTGCGGCGCATCGAGGTGCGCTGCACCCCGCACGTGCGCCGCACCGCGCACGACGCGCGTGCACAGGGTGCGGCGCACCCCGAAAATAAGGGATCGACCAAAGAAAAAAAAAGTTGCCGAGGGGTGTTCTGGGCCAGGTTGGGATGTCGCGTGACGAACCAACAAAAAAAAAAAAAACAATTTGAGGCCGCACGGGCCCTTGGAAAAAAAAAGGGGGGGAGCTGAAGTTGGTTTGTTTTTTGAAGTTTCGAATCCGGAGTGCTGCCCCTCGCTGCGTAGATGAACCCCGGTAGTCCAGCTTTGTGCCCTTCGCGCCGCCGTGCGTTGCCCGTTGCCTCCACGTCTCCTGTGCAGCAGCAGCAGTCGAAGGCGTCGTCGTCCAGCCATAGCCAGGGCACTACAGTCTTCCTGAAGGAGCCGAAGAAGCAGCGGGAGGAGCGCGGCTTCAGCTCGTAAAGTTGCCAGGTGGGTAACCACTAGCCCCTCTCCCCTCCTTCCTCTCTCTCTCTCTCTCTCTCTCTCTCTCTCTCCCGACTTCTTCCGCCGCTTCCCACCGTCC